AAAAAAACGTTGCCCCACACTAGGATTTTCTCCTGTGTCGTGGGTGCGTTTACAAACATACAAGTTCACATACACATGACACCCAGACCCGGAACAACAATCTGTGGATCACACAAAGAGTTATTCCGTGCGGGAATCGAACCCGCGACACGTTGCGCGGCAGCCAGTTGCCCAGCCACCGCGCCAACCGTGCAGTCAAAAGCATTAAGTTATACAAGCATTACGCGTTTTATTCATATTGTCAGAACTCGTTTTGCGGTTTCGTTTTTATATGAATTACCTCATTCTCAATAAGAAACATAAATAACAAATGTACTCAGATGTCCGCATCTTGCGAAGTGTAAACAGTACCCACAGTATGATAGGCATGGCATGAGAGACTAGAGGTATAATGTGATAAACTGCGCATAATTTTGCCTAAACGGTGTCTAGTGATACAAGTAAATTACGTCATGAAAGGGACAGTTAGAAGGCCGAGAATAGCGTAACAATGACGTCATAGACGACCCACGCGAAAAATAAACAGTTATCGTCTCCCATTACTCTGAAGGGGCTCTCAACAAAATCTTTGCCCGTCACACTAAAGCACACTGTTCTCAGAATATTTGCGGATATTTTATCAAATCTCCCGCGACACAATGCCCCTATTCCGGTCACAATAGAATAACGAAGGACAGACGCGGAGCAGAAGTTTAATTTAGGAAATACTTACATACGATACAAATGTGATTCGCATGCGGTAAACTACAGGACCATCATAAGTAGGAGACCTGGTTTCCTTACTTTCTTTGTACTAGATATTTGGAGGCCAGTCTCGCGTATTAACAACGGCCTATGTAAATGTATGATAATCTTACGTCTCTCTTATTTGGGTACTCTTAATTCGCTCGGTATTCGGCCAGATGCTCATTTCGAGGGCGCACGGGATCTGCACTATTGTCTTGCGCGTGTATTGTGTTCGAGGGCGTGCCGGGTGCATTGACCCCAGCCGTCGGCCACTGATTAGATACACAACTGCAACTTTTGTTAGACATCATGGACATATGGGACCGAGTGTATGACGCTCGCGACGAGAATTAATTAATGTATTATCCATTGTAATGGTAGTGATAAGAGGTTTGGTTCATTCATGTGTATGGAGCGATAAACCTAAATGTTTTTGATGCCATTTAGGGTATTCAAACATTAATATGTCATTACGCTATTACAATTAAATCATTAAACTAAATAGATGTCTCATTCCTGTCTACATGGGTATTATTTTAATGTTTTCGATGATATTTTGTTTCACAGCCTATGATAATACATTATAACATTTGACTTCAATAAAAATAATAACAGATATCCAAAAAATATGTTAATGGCATCTAATATTTTCTAATTAACATACATATTATTTGTAGTTTATTGAACTAAAAACCAAATTGTGTTATTGTTTACAAAATGATAAAGTTTATTCACCTTTATTTAGCACGGGCATGCGTACACTATGAATTGTATCAGTACAAAATGCTTTTATTAGGTCATAAACTAGTTATAAAGAAGAGTCTTACTTTCCATTGGGAATTTATGTACGTTGTACGTAAGTAACGAATGAAAACGTTGTTGGATTCTGAGTGGGCTTTAAACACTTGATTATACGATACATTAATGTTTGTTTCTATTTCTTTCATTTTGCAAACAGAAAATGAGAAAAGTTACCTATTGATAATATAATCGAAGAGATTCATTTTGCGTTCAATAATGCAAAAGCAATCTAAATCACGACTGTCTCGTTGGTCGAGTGGTCGCAAGTGAGACTGCTGGGCAAAGGGTCTCAGGTTCGATTCCCGGCTCGGGGGAAGTTATATTGGATTAAAAAAAAAGTCAGTAGCACGGGGTCTGAAATTGAGCCCGGTATATGGCAATAGGCTCATCCCCTATTACATGAGACTCGTAACATAAATAGTGAAAAATGGGTGTTACATTGTACAGTAGCATTTAGTACCGTAATGTGCACCTCTGGCTGCCCTTCGGGTATAAAAGGCGTGATGTTATGTATGTATGTACGATCACAATTACATATAAATACGTTGCAGAATCGAATAACTCGAAAGTATTATTATAACTAGGTATGTTTCCAAAAAATATCCCCAGCACAAAACGAATACTACCGTATTCGTTTGTTTGTATACATAAAATTAAAACGCAACGCCGTGTAAACTGTGACAAGTTATTAACCTTTCACCTGCACACAATGGTGACCCTTGGTGACTTGTGTTGCATACATGGGAATTGACAGTTGATGCATTCCGCCGCCTTTCAAACGACAATCGATATTAAATGGCCGTGCATTGTGTGATTTCGAAGATATATGTTTTATGAACGATAGACAACTTGGCTAGGGTTAGAGATTCGTATTATTTAGACTTTTAGACATTCGATCATCCCAATAAGGATGTTGAAAAGTAGCCAAATATTCAATACATTTTTCAAAATTGCTAAAATGTTTGACATTTCTTTGCATTGTGTGTGATGAAATTTTATAAAACACTCTTAAGGATATGTTTGTTACACCTTAGGACTAAAACTGCTAAACAGGTTAAGATATTATTCAGCATAATGACATATAGGCCATTAGAATATTGTTTATGTCCCTAGTGGATTAGTGGTACTAACTTTATAGTTAAGATATTCAACTTTTTTGTATCAAATAAGAAATAGACAAATAATAAACATTTAACATATTCTTTTTTATCTCGTCTAGCCCCAAACAGTCTAGAGAACTCAGTATCAAATTGAGTGTGTAAATTAAAATTAAAATAATAATAATGCAAGAGAAAGTTTCGTAGTTATTATACATTGAATGTTATTTATGTGGGAAATAAATGTTAATAGATATACAGTTGGAAGTATAATTTTTAACAATGGATTATGACATATTAAAAATGGGCTTGTAAGAAATAGGTATTTTCCAAAATGTTTATAGTTAATTCAAGTAACCTAGACCTACATGACAATGATTGTCATTCACAATTAAAAGATTCCATCTTTTTTTAATTAAGGGATATAATTATACCTTTTTGAATACAATATGTAATCAGAGTAAATAATTCTAGTACTTAATTATTATTTTAAATATATTTTAGCTCATGAACATTTAAATTTTTATGTTAATGTATGTGAACAGCTGAACAACAGGATATTATATCCCCTTCGCCATTATCTACAATGTGCATGCAACAGCTAAGAGTCAAGTAGGGCATAAACATTATTGTTAAGTACAAAAGTATATCAGTATGCATCAGGACATACAAAATGTTACTTATTTGCAACTGTTTATGCTACTTTTAGTGGTGTTTTTAGTGAAAAGTCAATTTTAAAACGACTTTAAAAGAGTTTGTATTCAATTAGCCTATCATTTAGAAACATGTTTAATTTAAAACAATTACCCATGTAATAGATTACATTTATAAAAATAATATCGCCTATCCTGCTTTCTATCAACAGTATGAACGGTAGTGTCCAACACACTATATTAATACAGTATCTTTAGTAAAGAAGTAACTATTTTAAGTTATTCTTTTAATCTTTTGTAGCTAAGTACAATAGGTTTCAAACACAATCCACATTAACACATCTAGACTCCGGAGCAATTATCCGCAGATTATTATACATTGTAAGAATTTTAGATACATGATATTCTTCCTACCTTGCAATCCTTATGTCGGTAACACCAGGTGCAACCAAGGAGCAGACCGACAGCGGTGATGAGGAGCGCCAACGCAGGCACCGCCGCGTACATGCCGCCCTGGGAGCCCCAGTTCTCCAATTGAGACTGGGAACTCGCATCTGTAGACAATGATTGTGTTGTGTGCACTTTAATCAGCCAATGTGTAGGTTTTAAACTGTGAATAATGCCAAGTACCTACGTTTTTATTAATTAAATAATTGTTAATTAGACATTGATGTTTTGTATTGTTTGTGATTGGTATTGAAAACATAATTATGTTTGTTTGTTACTTACACCAATTCTAATTTTTAAAAATCTATATTATTTGTACTGTCATAAATAACTAGATCACACAATTATACCCACTTTCTAAAACCCATTACAAAATAATATTTAACAATATAGTAATGGTATAAAAATAACAAGATTCTAGTAAGAATTGGTTTCTGATTAAAAGCAATACATTATGTCAAGGCTGAATTCTAGAGTTGCAATGAGCAATGAAGAAATAATTCATAGCTTCAAGTTAATTGTTTTGCAACTAACAAAGATTAATATTAATTTATTTATGATCATCATGGGACAATATTGTAGACCTACTAAATAAACAAAGTTACTAATTAGATTCTCATACAGTCAGCATACAAGAATCCAATTAATTATTTATGAATAATATTAAACAGGATTTTAGCAATAATGTAACATTGTCACAAATCTCACAGGTGTTTCCTTAATATGATAATTAGAATTACTGTTATTGTAATAACCAAACAATAATAAAAGCAGAGATAACAGTGTTTAGATAACAAAGGAGATAAGGAGTGTTTATTTACTTTAAACATATTTCACACCCTGACATAGAGCTGGCTACAATCTTTTTAATTTTTATAGCAAAATATTATGCAAAAATTGATGTTTTAATTACTCAATTTCATGTTTTTAGTGAAAATAAATAAAGAAGAACAGATTTCATACAAAATGTCGTAGAGCATTCAGCTTAAACTTTGTATACATATAGCAACATATAAATATGTTTAGAGGGAAGGACAAGCTTTGTATGTTGTACAAAGAGGTAGGGTAGGAGAGCAGTTATGCTTTCAATTTAAAGTAATTATTTCGCGGGTACATTTACGAGATTAGAGCTGAGTTATTACGGATATTTGATCATTTCCTTTTACAAATTGGTCTAACTTCCCTTTTCCAATCTGAACAGATGTTAGCATTTTTAGTATTATTGTCAGTGGCAAAACTATAACACGTATTGCCTGTACCTTTCACTTGCACCCACAGGCGACAATAGAAGAGATAGTTAATCACCTAATTAATGTAAAACATGAACTTTACGATAAAGTGACTCACCATGAGGATAGGTTTGCGGCGTTGATCGGAGAGGCGAACAGTGTCCCAAGTGTGAGCCGGTCAAGGCCACCAATAACACCACCCATATCATACCCATCATTGTCACATTATTTGCACAGCCGCATTATTTTCCGTTTCATTATTTATCGTTTTCATACATCACAACACAAAAAATACACGGTCCATGACAGGTTTGCACTGAACTAAAAATATTGTAACACTGTATGCTTTTTTTACTTTATAAATTATATATAACATAAAAAGATTTGTTGCACTTATAACTTAATTTTTCTAGTAAATTTCGTGCACATTTACATAAAAATTGCGCAACCCGCAGCTGTATAGAACGCCATTTTTCTAAATCAGTGTTACAGCTTAATTATTCAATTTTCTACTACCAGTCATATTGCAACGTAGCAATATTTTTGGTATTTTTCTAGTTTACGTATAGTGCAACCCCGACGTAATAAAATAAGATGCTGTTTTAGTGTTTTCTAAATGCTTTTTTAAATACTTATGTACTTTTATTCGCTTCATAAATATTTAATATATCATTTTACGAAATATTTCCGGTGAAACAAATTAAACTGAAAATGGAGTGTTCATCGACTCATTTGAACTATCGCGAATGCCAGTTACTAACGTCAAAATCAGTCAACTTAATGTCAAATGTAAAAAGATTGGAAATTGCTGAATATCGGAGGAAAACTCAAATAATGTTCCAAATCTGAAAATGTGTCATTAAAACCAATAAGTAAATAATTATGAATTATGCCAAAAATAGCAATTACAAGTAAAAATCTGGGACGAATGCTCGTAAACTTTGGCTCGATATATCAATAACCTCAAAACACATGTACGGTATAAGTGTATTGTTTAGTTCTCGTGTAGTTAGTAAACGTAGCATACGTGGTTACTCGTCTAATAGTACTAAGAAGCTGTTGGAATTTCTAGCCGATATGCCGAAAGCGACTTCAGCCAGAATCGCTGAGGCCCAACGTCAAAGGCAACAGATAACAAAAAAAAGTGAAAAATATGGTCCAAGCACTGTATACCTTCAGGTGATTGGATCAGGCGCAAGAGGAGCGCCCAGCACGCTTTACCTCTTTACAGACCAAAAACGGTAAGTTGCAACATTTCCATGTCAGACTATGTGTTAATTTTTATGGTAAGCATGGTACCTATTTGTTCCTGGGTAAACATTATGACCGAGGCACAGCATGGTGTTTTTAATTGGTAGAGTTTATAGATCGTTAAATCACACAATAGACAGGAGATATTTAGGCTATTTCCTGGGTCATGTATATTTGGGATTAAAAATAAGTAGAATAGTATAAATGCAAAGTGGTTGCATCATAAATAAAAAATAGTTATCATTCTCTTGCATCACCTAAGTAATTCTGTAGTGTGTGGTATCCTCCTGTTGTTAATAACTGACATAATCAGATTAATGAGTTTTTTCTACATTAATTTTATAAAAAAAGAACTCATTAGTAGGTAAGTATGTGCTTGAAGATATTAATGATAATATTGAAAGCTAAGATTTACTGAAGTAGTCATAAAAACAACTCCTGTGGTGATAGGCACCATTTTCTCGTCATAAGTAACCAGAGATTCACATACAACACTTTGGTTTTCTTAACTTCTGTATTTTGCTTTAATCATCATCATCATCAATTTATTTATACATATAATACAATCCTACTAACCCACTAACCATATGGTTAGTAAAGACATACACAACTTACAAACTAGTATTAGTACATAATAAAATATCATGTTGGCATGGAGGTTTAAGAGTCCCGCTTCTCATGCATGAGAGTACAGGTTACTTTCTAAGATTATGCAGACACCACTGACAAATTGTAAAGGAAAACATCATGAGAAAACCTGGGCTTATAATCTGTAATTATAAGTTTTAATGTAATTATGTATTGAGCAAGCGTGGTGATCAATGCTCAAGCCTTCTCTGTGTGAGAAGAGGCCTTTGGTCAGCAGTGGCTGCTTACCGGCTGTTGATGATGATGATGATGACGATGATTAACATAAATATCATCATTTATAATTCAATTAATTTACCATAAATAATATAATACAAACATCTGAGTACTTCAGACCACAGTTCGTAGGCAACACTTGCATCTATCATTCAGTGTTTTAGTATGAAGCCATCAGTCCCATCCACTACAGTCATCAAAAGACTGTTAATGCCACCCCGCACCAGGCGACAGGCTATCTTATGATTGCATAGAAATCCTTACTAATATTATAAATTGGAAAGTGAGTTTGTTTGTTTGTTTGTTCCGCTTTCACGCCGTAACTACTAAACCAATTGCTTTGAATTTTTGCAGACGTGAAGTTCGAAGTTCGGATTATATAATAGGGTACTTTTTATCCCGGAAAAATTTGATATTTCCAAGGGAAAACAAAAGTATTGGTATAGATGTCGCTGTGTGTATTGGTATATATCACATAGGCTACTTTTTATCCTTTTGTGACGCGAGCAAAGCCGCGGGTAAAAGCTAGTCATCTATACATGCCTTATGCCTTACAAACCAAAATAATTCTAGCACAGAAATATATTTCCTAGACATATACTTTGACAAATCTTATATTCTTCCAGATATCTCTTCAACTGTGGCGAATGCACACAGCGGCTTGCACATGAGCACAAGGTGAAACTTTCCCGACTGGACCACATCTTCATCACCAGTAAAACATGGCGCAATATTGGAGGCCTGCCGGGATTGTCACTCACCTTGCAAGATGTCGGAGTGCCAAATATAACACTGCATGGACCTGAAGGCTTGGTAAGTTGATTTAGGTTGTGTCGGGTACATTAACGTAAATAAAACGACTATAATTCTGTTTTTTAAATAAGAAATAAAACATAACTAAGATTTTTTTTTTCCGAAATATCCTGGCACTTAAAAAGTCGTGATATATTTTATATTATTAAAAAATCTTAGCTACTTACAAACCCATTTTTTACAAAAGTCATTTGATTTTAATATTTTTACATTTCAGGATGAGTTGTATACAGCAACAAAGCGGTTTGTTATAATGAAAGACATGAATGTGACAATGGCCAAGTGTAGCCCCTTAGAGGACTTTGAAGACAACACCATGAGTGTGAAATATGTTCTATTGTGAGTATGATATAAGGACTATTTTTCTTTGAAAGAGTAATTTGGGATACATGTGACAAATGTAAAATTAATATAACTAAGAAATTTTTGTACAGATTTTTATTATAATTTCTTATTTGTATGGCATATTATTTTGAATGTGGCTTAGTTATTGATATTGATATACTGAAGCATAATAATGTTTTTTATTTTTATTTTCAGAGGCCCTAATGACAACATACTTCAAGGTAAAGAAAAGTCAGCTGCTAAAAAGCCGAGACTAGATTCAACCTCGGATAGGGAGTATGATGAGTTTATTCATGATGACACTGATTACTATAAGTCTGAAATACGAAACATGGAAGCCAACTCGTCTAACCCTCAAAGAAACAGACATCCTAAGGATAAGCCAAAACCAAAATCAACTTTACATTGTGAAAAAGGTAAATTTTGTATGTCATTGTATTTTTCAAACCTTGTTATGCCGGGGCCACACTAACGTCAACGTCATTGCCGATTATCGCGATGTTTACTACGATAATTATTGCGATAATTTTAACGCGATAAAGTGGGTGGCTACACTTGAAATTTCAACGTGAATGCCCATCATGCCAAATGGCAATGTGAATGCCGTTGTCAAATTATCGCGTAGACTCGTGGCTACACCTACGGTGAACGTGAATAATCGCGATAAACAATGGCATTTCTCGTTGGTGTGGCCCGGGCATTAGGTATGGGTACAAATATTGTATAGGTATCTCTACATAGTATAAAACAAAGTCACTATCCGCCATCTGTCTGTCCCTATGTATACTTAGATCTTTAAAACTACGCAACGGATTTTAATGCGGTATTCAATAGACAGAGTGATTCTTAGGGAAGGTTTATATGTATAACACATGCATATTGCACCCGTGCGAAGCCGGGGCGGGTCACTAGTATTAGATATACAAAAGTTTTATACAATTTTGAGTACTTTCAAAAGTGGCAACCATAAAACATATGTTTTACTAGATGACCCGGTAAACTTCGTACCGCGTAAAAAATCTCACCTTTTAAACTCAAGACTAAAATAAGCTAAATCGGTTCAGCCATTCTCGAGTTTTAGCGAGACTAACGAACAGAATCACTTTTATTCATATAAATTGTTTTTGTTTCTTATTTCTTTAAATGTGTAGATTTGTTATCTCTGTCTAACTCTGTGCTTCAATATTGTAACACAAAATATTGTTCTCACAGAAAATGCCCAGAAGAAAAAGACTGATAAAGTTCTACATGAGTTGCAGAAGAAAACTAATTGTTCTGTGGCCTATATCTGCACTCTAAAGGTAAGATAAACATTTTAATTTATAAATATACACATAATTATACTCTAATGTACTCAGATATAAATATCAATAAGTGTGGGAGAGCCATGCTTCGGCACGAATGGGCCGGCTCGACCGGAGTGACACCACGGCTTCACAGAAAACCGACGTGAAGCAACGCTTGCGTTGTGTTTCGTCGTGTGAGTGAGGTTACCGGAGGCCCAATTACCTTCCCCTTCCCCAATCTCTCCAATCCCTGAACCCCAACGATCCTCAAACTCCTAATCCCCAAAAAGCCGGTGACGCACTTGTAACGCCTCTGGTGTTCCAGGTGTCCATGGGCGACACTGATTGCTTACCATCAGGTGATCCGTCTGCTCGTTTACCGGCTTATGCCATAAAGAAAATATCAATGTAATAATTTAGTTTGGCTCCCAAATGCTCTGGTATACCAATTTTGTCTATAATCTTATTAAAGTAAAATATTCTTACATTTCCTTTTATTTGTTTAACTAATCACCACAGTGACTTCTTTATAGAAACGGCTTGGTACCCTGGACCTGGCGAAGTGTGTAGAGCTGGGTGTGAAGCCCGGTCCAATGTTGGGCCAGCTGAAGAGTGGACAAGATGTAGTGTTGCCGGATGGCTCACTTGTTATGTCCAAAGACGTGAAGACTCCTGATGATCCTGGCCCTGTGTTTATTGGTAAGAAGTTGTAAGAACATTCAACATATTTTAATATAATTATAGCATAAATTCGTCCTTTATTTATACTTTATTAACGGATTGAAATTCAAATCGAATAGAGAAAAAGCAAGTACCTTGTGCATACTGCTAAGGAGTGGAATTCTTTGCCAGAGTCTGTATTTCCTGAAGGGCAGAACCTGGGAGTCTTCAAGGCCCGAGTGAATAGGTTGCTTATGGGACGACGTGCTCCATTGTAGGCCACATCATCGCTTACCAACAGGCGAGACAGTGGTCAAACGTCAGTCCCATCTAATATAACAAAAAATAAAATATGATTGTGAGATTTTAGAATTATCTCGCTAGTCAAGTTGTCGCAAGCGCAACTACCGAGTTAGGGGCTTCGGGTTGAATTCCTGGTATGGGCAACTTCACAAGTTTTTTGAAATTGTTAGTAAAACAAAATTAATAATACTAGCAATAATTTTCACTTCCAGTGTTGGATATACCTGATCTATCATATCTCAAGGAGACGGAGTTCACAGCACACTTCGACAATGACAGGAACCCGCCGGAGAACATCCCAGCGCTCATCGTGCACTTTACTCCGCCACATGTGTTCCATCATCCCACGTAGGTGTAGTCTTTGTAATAGTAATTGTAGAGATATTCGTTAAAAATATATTTACTTATTCAAGTAAATAGATTTTTAGTGTAGTATATAGTATATAGTGTATCAATTGTGAAAGTAAGACTGTTTGTTTATTGCCTTTTTACACTAAGTATATTTACCTGCCTCGATACTGCCAAGGGGTCTCGGGTTCGATTCCCGGGTCGGACAAAGTATTACTGGGTTTTTAAAAAATTCTCAGTAGTTACACGGAGTCTGGAATTGTGCCCGGTATATGGCAATAGGCTCACCCTCTATTACATGGGACTCATAACATAAATAGTGAAAAGTGGGTGTTACATTGTACAGTGGCGTAATGTACACCTCTGCCTACCCTTCAGGGATAAAAGGCGTAATGTTATGTATGTATGTATATTTACCTACTCAATAACGATACAAGTTAAACAAGATATATAACAGATGTTTTTACTATGAAACCGTTAAGCAACTGAAGACTATATAGTCTCTATGGATTCTTTCAACAAAAAGTATTAATAAAAAGGTTTCAATAGTTGATAATAACTGGATCAGTTTATTGTTTGAAACGGGACTTTTAACAATCCAGCTGTTACCTCGCAGGTACCGATCTTTCATGGCGATGTTTGGTCCGTGCACGCGGCACCTGGTGCTGAACGCGCAGAACTGCTGCCTGGGGTCGGAGGCCGTGCACCGCACGCAGCACAAGCTGCACCTGCTGGACCCCGACATATTCCCGCTGCTCAAGGACGTCAGCGTGCCCGCCGTCTGGAACGCGCACCCGCCCGTACCCAAGACCAATAGTCCTATAAGACTGAAGGGGCTGGAGGAACTTAAAAATAAGGTATGTGTTGTTTGTATAGGGTTTGGTGCGCTGGTGTCATGGTGCAAATTAATTACGTCTAAGTGTTTGATAACTAACAACAAAAATTATAATACCAACTCAATTCTGTTACTAACCTATATTAGATTTTTGCAATGGGAGCTGATTGTTTGTCTATTCTATGTTGTGTAAGTTAACTAACAAATATTTATGCATTAATACTAACCGATTATTACCCCTATGTTATATTCATAGTGTTTGCTTTTTTATTAGTAGTATTTATAGATAGTGTTCGCTGAACGAAGGGTTTAAAAAAAAGAATAAGGGCCGATTTTTCAAACATCAGTTAGTTCTTAACTGTAGAATAAAATGGAAATTTAACAGGTTTTCAAATATTATATTAGTTATATTTTAAGTCTGGGAGAGCCATGCTTCGGCACGAATGGGCCGGCTCGACCGGAGTGATACCACGGCCTCACAGAAAACCGACGTGAAGCAACGCTTGCGTTGTGTTTTGTCGTGTGAGTGAGGTCACCGGAGGCCCAATTACCCTCCCCTTCCCCAATCTCCCCATTTCCTGAATCCCCAACGATCAATCCTCAAACTTCTAATGCCCTTAATGCCGGTAACGCACTTGTAACGCCTTTGGTGTTCCAGGTGTCCATGGGCGACGCCGATTGCTTACCATCATGTGATCCGTCTGCTCGTTTACGGGCTTATGCCATAAAAATAGAATTAAATTGTCATTTAACAGTTTTTAGTATGAAAGAATTGTCAAATATTCAAAGCTATTCCTCAGTTAAAAATCTGGGGTTGGAAAAATCCGCCCTAACAAAGATACTAGATCAAATGTTTGTAAACTGCATCTGTTTTTATGCCCTATATGTACAATATGACGTAGCTTAGCTTGCATGTGGTGAAGGTGCGATGTAATACAATCATTTGTAGATAGCCCTCGCGCAGTTCCAGAATATTATTAACTTGGAGGGCTCAGCTAAGGGAGATGGACATCAGCCCTCGGTCGAAGACAGTGATTCTATCCCCAAGTTGGAATTATTGGCTGGACGCACGCTCACTATGTACCATTTGAGGCCTAAAAAGCAGTTGGATAGGTGAGTTGTTGAGCTTATTATACTTAAAGGTAGTTTTTGATGTTCCAAAGTAAATTATGTATAGAGTTCACACATCAATGTTATCTTGTGATTTTGGAAACATTTCTGAAGTTTTTGTTTTTTAATTGAGCCAATTTTTTTTATTTTTATACTAGGCTTCATGCCAACCCTTTAACATTAAGACGGGATCTAATATCTCATTTTGATTTGAAGAACTAACAACGAACAAAAGTCTTAAAACGTTTCTTCGACTTTGAATAAGCTTTCGATACGTTCAATCACATAGATTCTCTAAATTTTTCACCGTAGGACGGCAGAACCGAAGCTTCACATACAAAGCTACATTCAGGAGACGATGGACGTGGATGGGTTCGTCGGCAGCTTGGAGCAGTTCCGTCACCTCGTGGACGGTATGAGATACACACGGTGTGACTCTAAGGAGTACCCCAAGGTGGTATTCTTGGGCACAGGCTCCTGCATACCCAGCAAGACTAGGAATACTAGCGCTATTGTGCTGCATATTGAGTAAGTTGTTTTGTAATTAATTGGATATTTAATCGGACGATTGGTGCAGTGGTTGAAAATTGAAATGACGTCTATACAAATACGGATTCAATTCTCGCACGGAACAACTCTTTGTATGATGATTGTCTGGCTTTCTATAGTCCATCTGTTTAGGTAATTAACTAAAGGTAAACAAACAAAACCACGTGACACAGAGATACTTAACCTTCTATTACTTCAAATATTTCTCGTGTTTTAATTTAAACTAAATTCACTTTAAAATCGTTCATTTGTCACACACACACATACAAGCACAAATGCCTAAATCGTACAAGAGCCTAGCCTATGGATCTATTTCATTATCATGTTTAAATAGAAACTATTCTGAATCTGATGTACGGATTACTTTCTTGTACGGATATGTGTCTTTGGGTCAAGTTTCTTCAATATATTTGAACACATTAATTACAAACGATGAATAACCTAAACTTAAATAACGTAATAACAAAAACAAAACAAAGAAACAAGATACATTCAACAAAATAGGAACGCGAGCGCAAACGACGAGAGAGCTGTCAATGGCGCCTGATTAACCGACTAAACGTAATACACGCTACTTTCATTGTCGCGCTACATCTTAATTGTACTCTTTAATTTGACAACATTATCTAATGCCTCGTTCATAAAGAAAGGTTTTGGATACCTAGCATTTTAGGCTCTTTATGGTGTCTATTGTAATGAAATATTATATTATTTAATAAATGTTATTAAATTATTATGCTCAAGCAGATACATATAATATTTACTTAGAAATAAGTGAAAAGGAACAGAAACATAACATTTCATAGAGAAAACTGTCGTAAAAATGGAAACAATTTTATTTTCTTATGAAGTATTTTCAGTCATGGAAATGTCAACTATAAAGAACTCTTTTTATGGTTTGTTTACAAATAGTTAACTACCTAAACAGACGGAGTATAGTGAGATCACGTGTAATTTGAACACTATAGTCAGCCGGTTTCCTGCAAATTACCTGTGTGGTATAGTGTGAACCTGGTATTAAATTCTGTGTTATTTTCGATTGCAGTGAGAATAGATCGATTCTCTTAGACTGTGGAGAAGGTACCTTTGGTCAGCTGGTGCGTTTCTACGGGCCGAAGAAAGTCAACAGTTTCCTCAGGACGCTGAAAGCTATCTACATCTCACATTTACATGCTGACCACCACATTGGTAAGATTCTTTTTAGTACAAAAGATCCAATACTCCATCATTTGAAAAAAGACATAGTTGTGTAGGTACTGTACTTCTTTATTAAATACAACCATATAGTTTAATTATTACTGCCTTTCTATTCAAATCTAAGCCACTAATTCTTGATCACAATCTCATCCGGCAATAGCTAGTGAAAAGTCAATGTTACAGTATATGTACAACTCTACCTCTTTGGATTTTCAAAGACATTCTATGTTATAAAAATGAATAAAAATATTACAGGTCTAATCGGCGTGATCCAAGCTCGTCGTGAAGCGTTCCATGAGGCGGGCGCAGCGAGCGAGCACCCGGCGCCGCCCGCGCCGCTGTACCTGCTGGCTCCCGGACAGATCATCACGTGGCTCACCTGGTACGACCACCAGTTCGAGAAGATCAAGAGCGAGTTCACTCTTATACCTAACCAGAGTCTTGTAAGTAATATTGCATACTAGCTTCTTCCGCGCGGCTTCACCCGCTCTGCTGGGCGGCTACTGATCGTAGCGTGATGTTTATAGCCTATATAGACTATCTAACACAAAAATAATTATTCAAATGGGGCCAGTAGTCCTTTTTTTATAGGATAAGCCGAGAAACGACCAAACGGATCACCTGATGGTAAGAAATCGGCGTCGCCTATGGACACTTGGAACACCAGAGACATTACAAGTGCGGTACCGGCCTCTTAGGATTAGGAATTTGAGGGTTGTTGGGGATTCAGGGATTGTGGAAGGGGGAGGGGGGCAGGTAATTGGGCCTCCGGTAACTTTACTCACACGACGAAACACAACGCGAGCGTTGTTTCACGGCGGTCTTCTTCTCGGCCGTGGTATCGATCCGGTCGGGCCGACCCATTCGTTGCGAAGTATGGCACTCCCACATTGAAACACGCTAATAATGACAATAATATTTTTCTTCAGCTCCACGACCACGCTCACAACTCCGAAGTGACATCAGCAGTGCTAGCAGCGATGGGCGTGCAACATATAAGGACGTGCCACGTGGCGCACTGTCCCAACGCATTCGGCGTGGCCGTGGCGCTGGACGACGGCCACAAGGTCACCTACTCGGGGGACACGCTGCCCTGTGACGAGCTAGTGAGGATCGGTAAGTGTTCTTTTGTGTTTTGTAGGTATTTTCAGTGGTGTTGTAGTGTAATTTTGAGACGATTGTATGGGGTTTCAGGAGTTGTATTGTGTCAATATCTTTCAAGTTTTAGTTTCGTATATTCTAAGTGATTAGTTGTAATAAGAACTTCTGTAAAGATGTTGCTTTAATCTCTAGATGGCGCTAATCTAAAAAGATAGGGACTACCGTTTTATATTCACTAAATGGCGCTAATCTCAAAAGAACTCAGAGGCCTTAGTACGAGTTTGTTTTACGTTTAAAGTAATCGTAACGAGTACGCGTTCGGCGCTGTGATTGGTTGGTTCATTGGCGCCGGCCAATCAGAGTGCCGAACGCGTACTCGTTTCGAATACTTTAAACGTAAATTCAACTCGTACTAAGGCCTCTGTTCAACAAATCACTGCAGACGTCAAAGTTTACGGCCAATGGTGTGACATTAGCTAATTCCCTATTGGTCGAAGGACGATAGTAGCGCCACCTGAGGAGAAATAATACAGCAGCCCCCATTACATTAGGTTTATATGCAATCGTCAAAACCATTCTTTAAAACCCTTACTTAGCGCAGAGACTTCAATCTAAAACCTTCCAAATTGCAGGAGAAAACTCAACCTTACTAATTCACGAAGCGACGATGGAGGATGAATTAGCAGATGAAGCTCGTATTAAGATGCACTCGACGACAACGCAGGCCATAGACATCGGGCGACAGATGAAGGCGCGCTACACCGTCCTCACACACTTCAGCCAGCGGTACGCGCGCCTGCCGCGCCTCAACGCGCACATACTCAACGACAACAACAGCGTCGGCATCGCGTTTGATAATATGCAGGTAAAAACATACATTGTATATGTATTATATCGTCACGACTGTTTTTCGTTGGTGTAAGAGAGACAATGGGAACGCCAAATGACAATATTATATCAGTCCCATGCCCATTTTTATAATGCGTGATTACAGTGCCGGATTAAGCCAGCGCGGGGCCTGTAGCAAATTCTGTCAAGGGGCCCTTGGTTTGCTATCGGTTCTCAAATTAAGGGTATTAAATAAAACAAAACTGTTACAAATAAACTTTTCTGGATTTATTATGGGCAAATTTAGCGATTACACTTTCAATATCGACGTCTTTATGCAAGTCATGCTCTATATTCAACATTGTGAGATGATTAAGACGTTCTTGGCTCATAGTGTTCTTTAATTCATTTTTAATTCGTTTCTACGTTGAAAAAGAACGTTCGCCACTGTAGTTAGTGATCATGAGGGATAAGTAAATGCGCAAGGCAATGTCTAAATTTGGGAAATACGATTCTAAAGAATTATTTAATAAAAGTTTATAAAACTGCAGTTCCAGAGGCTCCTTTTTCTTGCTGTCAATTACAGTAGACACGTCTGTTTTCAGCAGCTCTGCCAACTGCAATAATTCGCCTCCTAGGCTGTTCTCCAAATCATCTTCCTCAAATAGTTTTGCAGTGTTGCCATGTGCGTCACCCTGGCCGGATGTTGTCGAATTTTTTTTTTATACCACGACGTTGGCAAAATAGCACACGGCCCACCTGATGGTCAGCGGTTACCGTGGCCTATGCACGCCTGCAACACTTGGGGCATTACATGCGTCTTGCCGACCCTTAAGAAACCTATTCACTGCTCTCTTGAAGAACGTCATGTTATAGCCCACTGGGAAAACCACGGTAGGGAGTTCATTCCACAATCGGAGGGTCCGTGGGAGAAAATTCCTCTGAAACCGAACTGTACCCATGGTCCCCATTTGGGCTCCAATGAGTGAGCGTGAACCCCCTGTCGATGGCGAGCGGTGCGATGATAAAATGTGGCCGTGGGCATCATATCAAATAATTCCGCAGAACATAACCCATTATACAAGCGGTAGAACACGAACAAGGAGGCAAAATCTCTCCTTAGACTTAAGTGCTCGATACCGCTCGTAAGTATAGGATCGTCAACAAGTCTTATAGCTCTCCTTTGGACCGCGTCAAAAGGTCCAAGCTGGTATGCTGGCGCTCCTGCCCAGAGATGAGAGCAGTACTCCATATGGGGGCGAACTTGCGATTTATATAAAAGCAGTCTTTGTCCCGGCGTGAAGTACCGCTTCGCTCTGTTTAGCACACCGAGTTTTTTAGATGCCAGCTTGGCCTTGTCTTCTAAGTGACCACGGAACTGGACTTCACTAGATATGTCGACACCAAGGATAGGTACCTATACTTTTGAAGATGTTAAGGGTAGTGTCTTGGAATTTAGGGGTAGGGGCCACAACGGAAAATGGTCATTTGAATCTTATAGATAAATAGTTATGCGGTTTCTGTATTTGTTGCGCACATTTTTAAATTTGTTGCGCTTGTAGTTTTTTTATTGTTTCACAAAAACATTTTCTGCTGCGGTAATGTTACTCCAGCCAGACCTTTTTCTTTCTAATGGGAATATTTAAATAATTACTAGCTATAAAATTTGTTGCCTATATGAAGTAAATGTTGTGCCTTATTTTGTATTTGTTCTTTCATCGGTTGCCAAGTTATTCGAGATTTTGCTGGGGTAACGTTTTTAATTTTGCTAGATCTTTGAAATGGTTAAGCGGATTCTTATCATAATTGGTATAAGGCTTCTTAGGAATTAGTTTTAATTTGTTGTGCAATAAAAAAGCTAAAATAATGCATAGCTTAACGGTTATTTCATTAAATAGAAAAACACTTCAATGGTCCCAGCACTCTCAATAAGAGCTCTGAAGACTTACTTTAAACGTTAACGTTAATAAACTGCCGTGATTCACGCGTGTGCGCGTGATGACGTCAAATTATCGTTTTTTGAATTTGATACCAACGTTTTTCGTGATAGATATTATACCTAGAGGTGAGGCGGAAATAGCTATGCGCGCAGTTCGAGTCGGCTCGGTTCGTCCGCCAATGGCACCAACCGAGCGGACAAATAGTCACTTTCCTTTTCTTACACATACAAAATACCGACTATTTGTCTTTTTGTCGTTAAGAAAAAAAACAAATTACTTGTATTTTGGTAGTAGTTTTGTAAACAAAACATTTTCTTCATTAGTCTTGCTGTTGCAGTGGTGTAATTACGAAATACCTATTTGAGCGCGGGGCCCTCCAATCCGCGGGGCCCGTAGCATTTGCTACTCTTGCTACGTGGCTAATCCGGCACTGCGTGATTACGTGTTAAAGTTTTATCAAAGTATTAAAAAAAACAAACTTATTAGTAGCACGGAGTCTAGAATTGTGCCTCACGGGGGTGAAAAAAGATGTTATTTAGTCCTATGTAATGGGGGTATTACAAAAAAAGATGTTATTTAGTTCTATGTAATAAGGGTATTACATAGGATTAAATAACATCTTTTGATGGGCCGACGTTTGACCCCAATCGCCCGTTTTAAGAATATTTCTATCTCATGTTTCTATGATGTCGTTCTCCTTACGAGTATGTAATTGTTCAACGTTATGTAATCAGATCACGATGAGCGACCTGGACCTGCTCCCGCACATGTACGCGCCGCTGCAGCTGATGTTCGCGGAGCACTGCGTGGAGATGGAGCTGAAGGCGGCGCACCGCCAGCGACTGCGCGACCGCCGCGCCTCGCCCCTGCCCGGTACACACACGCCCAAGCGGGCTCGCAGCCCTCGCGACGACCACGACCTCAACAAACGATCCTGTAACCATGCCAACGGGGACTCGCAAACAAAACTCCCCGGCTTAAACTCTTCTATACAATTAAGCTCTGAATCCACTGAAACCGATACGAAAGTTTCTCATATACAGACGAGAGAGCTCAGTACTGATTCTGCGTCTAATTCTGATAATAATAGCAAATTAGATAGTGATTGTAAACAAGATTCTAATGCACAGACAGAAACGAATGCTAGCTAGGATGAATGTAGATATTTTGCTTTGCTCATTAACGTGCCTAGGGCGTGTCCAGAGCCACAGATAATGTCAATAATAGTTTTTTTTGTTACTGTTATAGTATCATTTTTCACTTATAGCATCCAATTGTTACGTCAAGTATAATTGGAGATTACCATCAATCTAAGCTTGAATTATTCATTTCTGGATAATATGTTCCTACGTACAGAATAAGTACTGGACACGCTCGCAATATCTACGTATGTATAATGAATATTGCATTTTGTGATTAACCTTTGGAATAAGGTTGATATTTTATTAATTTATCATTATGAAACAATGATTTTCAGTTTCTTGGTCCTTGACTGAAGTTTTTCTAGTGTTATTTCACATGCGGTTCTCACAATGTATGTTTATTTAAAATGGAGTCTGATATCATTTACTAACACCACAACAAAAACGGCAGGACCGTTTAATTATTTAGATTCTAAAGAATCTTGATGTTTTAATATTGCAAATAAAAATACATTTAATTTTGTTATTCCGGCAACCATAATTGCTCACTCACTGACTATAACATAACTCTGCTTGAACTTTTAACTTGTTACGCCGAAATACTCAAACGCCATTCAATTCTTAGTAGCGCTAAACCGCTTGAATGCCTGTATATGAGACACAATATACAATACATTGTGTCTCGCGTGGATCCACGTTTAGACACACGACGGGTTGAGTATACTTCTGTCACTACAAATTCTTCGTTACAATGTCAAAGATGGCACGATATTTAAGTACAACTTTAAATTCGGTAGCCTTCCAGTATTCAGGCGATGGTCATTTAAGTAATAATTATAATGACTGCCTCGTTGGCCGATTGGTCGCAAGATCGGGCAAAGTAATACTGAGTTTTTAATACTTAGTAGTAACACGGAGTCTGGAAATGTGCCCGGTATATGGCAATACGCTCACCCCCTATTACACGAGACTCATAACATAAATATTGAAAAGTACACAGTTGTACAGTGGGATTAAGTGCCGTAATGTGCACCTCTGCCTATCCCTTCGGGGATAAAAGGCGTGATGTTATGTTATGTGTATTAAACTGTCAAACACCAAGCGGTCACCGGTGACCGCAACCTATTGTTCTATAATTCTATAATGACGGTACTCGACGAGTTAATTATAATATGATATCCTGTGCCTACACTTTGTTTGACAAGCGATAGACTGTATGAGTTCGCATTGAATGCATTAGTTATGTGTAAAGTACATTAGTCGTATCTTTAGCTGTGTTGTTATGTATTTAATAAATAATTTCATCTCATTTTCGTTTCATTATTGTCATCCTTTGATCCCATTTCCTAATTCCGTAGTATTGTATGTAAGGTGATTGTTATGGTACAGTTAATTTTGAACTTAATGGTTTTAGAATTAGAGTCGGTTTTTGCTGTCAATAGTAATAAGTTAATAAATCGTTTTTATAAAAGTCGAGTAAAATGATGTAGGTATGTTAAGCTTTAAGAAGCTTTTGTACAATAGATACACACATATTGGTATGTTGATAAATAATAATTGGGTAGTATCATAATTTAAAATCTAATTAGTCCGTCAGTTAAATAATGAAAAAAATATACACGTATTTTTTTATTTTCTCGTATGAAGTTACAATACTTAGATAAAATGGCGCTAAGTTTATGAGTGGGAGGTCGCTACGTCATAACGTGCTATAAAATATGACACACTGTGACGTCACACGATATTTCAAATTAATATATCGTCGAAAGTATTAAATTTTGTGAGAAAAGAAAAATACATGTCTAAAGTTTGAAATTAAAATACCAGACGGACATTCAAACAAAATTTAGGAAACCCTATAATTTGTTACATTGCTATTGATTATAAGAAAATATGACAAGAAATTGTACTCAGAATAAATGTTGCGTTGTGTTATAAACTAACAGCTAGCGCTTGCTTTTTTAACCGACTGCAATAAAAGGAGGTTGAAGTAAATGTTTTTGTTGTCTTGTCCGTGGATTTAATCATCGAGAAACGCGCAATAGCATCGTATAATGTTTATTTATACCCCAATCGCGATCACAATTGCGATTGGGATTCAAATACGTGGGGAAGTAGAAGACGTCTAGTTTGAAGATGATTTCTCATCTATTTTATAGATAGCTTGTGACTTCGTTAAATTAATAATGCAGAATCCTATCATGATGTCTCTGATGGTGTCACAGAAAGATATGCCACAATATATGTTGTTGTAGTGTCCTCGTCCCGGCTCCAGTCGCTGAGCCGCGGCCGGCGCGTGGCGTCGACCGGCGCCACTGTGTCTGCGCCGACGCCGCAGCGCTTACGATACAGGGAGAGCAATGCTTCACGTGAGTCGCACCACTGTCGCGGGATTAGTTGCCCGACTAGACTAATTACTGCAGAATACAGTCACTAGAAGTTTAACTGTATGGAATCAAAATTAGAACATGGAACAATTATTGGTCTTGTGATCCATACGTTGTTCAGCGTTTGTGTGTGAAGAATTTTTTTTTAGAAAACGTTGCCCCATTCTAGGATTTATCTCCTGTGTCGTCGCTGCGTTTACAAATATACAAGTTCACATACACATGCAAAACCAGACCCGAAACAACAATCTGTGGATCCCACAAACAATTGTTCCGTGTGGGAATCCAACCTAATACGGCGCGGCGGCCAGTTGCCCAGCTACCGCACGATCCGTGCAGTGAAATTTGAGGAGATTGATTACCTAAGAACTAACTGCCTTAGTTGGTAGGTCGGTTGAACTGATCTGAAAGTCGTTGAATAGCCGTATTTTTTTTTTTTAAGGGGGGAAAATCATCGAATGGCTGCTCCCGCCTGGATGAGGCGGGAGGGAGTGTCAGACTCTTACTGACTAAAAACCACCCCGTTCCTTCTCCTGCACGTCGAGCCGGAGCCCCAGTTACCCATTAGGTTCTCCGCGACTCCAAACCGGCATCGGCCTTATTGGGCCCCATCTGTGGTGGTCTGATGGCTCTTTGAGGCGCGCGCGGAACGCGACGCGCCGTACGCTCGGGTCTGTTTCTGGTCGGACGGGGAGCCACCCATGCTCGCCGTCCGCAGGCCAGCGCTTACGGTGGCCGGAGATCGTCTCGCGATCCCCGACGCCCGGTGTATCCTTCGCGATGGCTGGGTTGCGAGGAGGCAGCGCTTCGCTGCCTCACGCGTCCCGCCTCCTCCTTAGCTAGCATGACTGCTTCGCAAAAGGAGGAGACGGCATCCCAGTCCCCCTCGCTCCGCATCATGGCCTGCACTAGGCCCGGACGCGAGAGGTCGCCATCGCCGATCACTTCCCTAAGGGTACGGCGGTGCTCAGCCCACGCAGGGCATTCTGCAACAGTGTGTTCCACCGTGTCCTCAGGGCGGTCCTCGCAATGATGACACCCGGGCGTTTCCTCCCGCCCCATCAGACACAGGTACCTCCCGAAACTTACATGTCCGGTGAGGACCTGAGTCAGGCGGTAGGTGAGGACGCCGTAGCGTCTCTCAAGCCACTCCTCAAAGAGGGGACTTACGGCTGCAATGGCAGCGAGCCCAGAATGTAGCCGTATAATGTTCAACGGTGGACGTTTTGTGGCTGATATTATGTAGGATTATCTTTATACTTACTTGATTACACCTCACAGGGCTTCGGCAAGAAATTAAAGGTATGACAGTGTGGGGCACTGTGAGGAAGCCACGCAGCCGAAGTAATTCCGCTTCGACTTCAGGCTCTCATGAAGTGAGCGTCACCAAGGCGAAGCAGGACGAACATCGAAACTCATCTCGTATGTACCTACCTAAATAGTACATATTTCATTTATTCAATTTTCTTTTCTAACACCTCACCCAATAACAAGTTGCTAATTTGAAAATGCAGTCTGTTAGAAAATGCAACATAACATACCATCACGCCCTTTATCCCCGAAGGGGTAGGCAGAGATACACATTATGCCACTGTACAATGTAACACCCTCTTTTCACTATTTATGTTATGAATGCCATGTAATTGGGGGTGAACCTATTACCATATACCGGGCACAATTCAAGGCTCCGTGCTACTACTGATTTTTTTTTAAATACTAGTAGTACTTTGCCCGACCCGGGAATCGAACCCGAGACCCCTTGCCCGGCAGTCGCACTTGCGTCCACTCGGCCAACGAGACAGTGTGAAAATGCGATCCCCCCACCCTCTGGGCCTCCGTCCAGTCTAGTGTATTAGAGAATAAACTTATAAATGAATAAATGATTACTTATTTCAATGTATTCATAGGTCAACCCAGTTTAGAACGTTCAAAAGGAAAAGATGTCGCTGAGAAGGAATTGACACGTAATTATCAATTTTTTTGTCTTACATAATATCTATATCCGTAGTTAAAGTTAATTATTTCACTTTTCTACTATATGTATACTAAATTTGGTGGCGCTAGTGAGATTAAAGACCTGTGTGTTTGAAAAAGCACCTACATATACGCATCTGAACCCAATCCTCTGTTGTAGTAGCTTTGCCTTAGCCCACAAGCTGCCTTTGTCGCTTACCATCCGACGATCCAACAGCTCAGTCACTGCCTAGGAATCCTATAAAAATTGACAAAGGTTGCTCTATAAATCCATTGGGCTTTACAGCACACTAGCGCCACCTGTAACCTAAATAATTACTTACCTAACTGCTAATACTAATGGAAATTATTTTTCTCAGCGCACTCACAAAGTGACAACCTCAGCAATGATGTCCATATTCCAGTCAAAGATTCCAACGTTCCTTCGTCAGCAAATGTGGTGAACTGTGAGTACATATGTACATGATCAACATTATCACCTTTCAAAATACAATTATACCTTTCCAAGTCATAATTATTGCCCTACCTTATGTAAATGTAACACGAGGTGTTATTTGTACAATGGTAGTAGAATATGTCTAATGGTTTAATTAATCGATACAAGTAAAGTCTGTTGGGCAGACTTTAGTGCTCATTAAAGGCTCCTAATGGCGAATTTATATGGTATAGTCTGCATTAACGAAGGAATTATATTTATACTCAGCATTATTATTATATCAATAAATAGGTAGTTTAAATACTGAGAATGCTATTCGATATTTTGATTATGATCTATTTTATGTGTAGCGCGTTCGAAAACTATAAGCTCTGTGGGCCAATCGCATTTACCCTCTGCCGAAGAAGTGTTGGAGGTTATGGACAAAATAAGAAATAACCATAGAATCCATAGTAAGTATCAACAACAATATTTATTGGTGTACCTACTTGCTTTTCAATTTTTGTCGTACCAGATGGCGCTTCAGTCGAATAAGATCTTGTTCGCTATTATATTTTTCTTTCCCAATATAGTGTCATTAGAAACCAGCTTATATTGCCAGATAAACACATTCTTCAAGCGTGATTGGCCATTATTGTATACACACTATATTACTATTCAATCCATATTCAAAAGTTTCTTCTTCTTTTAACTCCGTATAGGAATCGGACCCAAAACAGCCAAGATCTTGCTCGTTAGTTATGATAGTCATCCATTCACAAGGACTGATAGAAATAAATCAGATGAAGCAAGAACCCCTTCTTCTTTAAGTCGATTAAAAATATTGTTAATTCTTAGGCATTGTGGGTCATGCTAAGCAGACAGACTGCGGCTATGGCAAGCCGTTGGTGACGCCGATCAATAAAAAGCTAACCATCAGACGAGAAGAACAGCGTTATGCGAACTTACGTAAGTCGCAATGCCTATTCTATTTCTTATTAGAGAAGAAAATGTTACTTTTCTTTCCTTTTTCGTCCCTTCTGGGATCGTAAGAGCCTAAAGGGTCGGGTCGGGTATCGTGTGAGTCGACTGTCGAATGTATAGTCGGTGGCTTGAGTCAGGGGCGTAGCGCGTCTTGACTGCCAAATAAATCTTTATACAGGACCCCTGTTTCCAGGCAACTCCCTCTGCCCAAATTATCGAACAATGATTACTTTAGTTCTTCTGAAGTTTCTACCACCCTTTGAACACATGTTTTACGCGGAAAATAATCGTTTATTTTGACTATTGTGATTACAGAAATAACATGAAAAGGGGTAGTTTTTATTATTTTTACTGCACCCTAGATGGCCCGGAAGCCCCCATATAGTTGATACGGCAGATATGGCGCTAGTTACGCCCCTGCGAAGACTATAGAATTTAAACTGATTGGTTGTTGGATAGGTACCAATACTAAACTACTACTATGCTTGAGAAAACATTGTTTGATATCTCATTATTCCAATTGTAGCGAACTTTACTGCTCTTCGAATAACTGTTCTAAACTTTTTTATAGATCCAAGTGTTGAGAAAATTACAACGACAGTCCCTGTGGCCAAAACTCCCACACGGACGTGGAAAGGTACATTACAATGTTTATACATAGCAATCTATATCTACCTATATTAGGCTACCTATTTACATTTATGTACCTAGCTAATCCTTATAATTGTCATTAAATAAAAAAAATACAAAAATACTTCTTTCTTTCGCGAGGAGGGTAAATATAACGATTACTTTACCTGTACCTACATAAAATTAGGACTTGACTGGAAGGGCATTAATAATTATTTGCACAATTTCGTATTTATCTGCAATTCGCCATCTGATTTACACTCATATAATAGTTTTACATAAGTTAGGTGGGAGGCCTACCTACACCTATTTCTGTTGATTAATGGAATATTTTTTCAAGCGGAAAACAGAGAGGGTGCTCCTCGAAATACTGCAAAGAAACCTGATTTAATGCTACCTAAAACACGTGAGTAACAGATTTCATTCAGCTAACTTTTTAAAACTAATGCTCTCATATTAATCTCTCAATTATCGTATAAACATTGCACTACATTTTTGTGGGGTAAACGAGCAGACGAATGATTTTTGTAAGCTATTAGTGCGGCCCTCGGACACCCGCAATACCGGAGGAGTTACAAATGCATTGCCGACACATTTAGCGAACTTGGTATTTTCTATAGTTGGACAACTGTTAGAGAATATTTGAACAAGTTTAACTGGCTGCATATTTTCGGTTCTATTTCAGTAGTCAAGTATCATAAAGTCGATGTGGTCACGAGCGTGCTCGGGCACATACTATTTTGGCGCGTGGCTCGCATCACTGCCTACGTGTATCCAATCTGTGCTAGCAATGGGATTGTGATTGTCACTATATTAGCATTTGCTGTTTTGTTTTGGACAGCCACGAAGTCCTCTTTAACCGGGAACAAGTTACGGGCATCGAATACTAATCCCAATGTCTTTCCGGAATCTAAACCACCCGTTTTGAGGAGTAATATAGCATCCAGATGTGAGTGGATACTTATATTTAATTTTTTTTTTTGTTGTGGTTGTGTGACGGGTAGCAATTACCTACAATGCTCTGACAAACTAGGTAGAAGTAGTAAGTTTTTTTTTTTGAGGGGGGAAAATCATCCAATGATTTCTCCCGCCCGGGTGAGGCGAAGTAGTAAGAGTCTAGGGTAGACTTTTGGGCTGTTTTTGTAGACTATGGATTTTTATGGATTGTCAGTATGCATATGTGAGCACCGTGTTAGACTATACGATTTTTTTATTTTTATTATTTTAGTAAGATTTGTATTTAGTACCTATAATGCGTTAAGCTTGTCTTTGCATTGTTCTCACATATACGTACAGTATTGGAATATGTATCAGATACATTATAGAACATAGTTTTAAAAAAAAGAGTAACGAATGGAGTTTCTTTCTTGTTCTTCTCCATTCGAATCTACATTTTGGAATGAGCACCTAGCTTCACTGACGGACTGACTGACAGACTATTATTTATTTTTTATTTGTTGACGTTTCAC